CTGCAATGCCGGAACACATTTTGCAGCATCTGTGGAGTTATTCTGTTGTTGTTGTACCTGCTGCCCCCTTATACACGATCTCGTAAATCGTGCAGATATGTAGCCCATGTTCGATGACACCTCTTCACTTGATAAAGACCCCATGCACAGACCGCATCCAAAGGGGTTAAATCCCGGAGATCGAGGCGTCCAGGTGCCTGTTGCCAATCCAGCGATTTGCAAAACGTTCGAGATGCTTCTCCCGGCACGATGTTTGCCTAAGTACAGAGGACCTCCCCCCCCGCCCCCCCCCCCATCTTATTGAGAGTGTTACTGCCATCACACGTTCTTGTACACTCATTCATAGGGTCCTGCAAAGAAACGTATACAAATAAAAATACATACCATTAGTTTAATAAAAAAAAAATAGAATCGAGACTTTATGGACCACCCTGCATCCTCGGTTCCGGTTTTACAATACGGGGCTCCGGACGGCGCACGCACGTAACGTTCGCGAGGTATTCAGGACTTCCTATCGCCTTTACCGGACACACGAGCGCCCCCCGCTCCTTGTTTGGTGACTAATACCAAACACTTGCATTTCGATTTAAAGCGTTCGTGACTGCAAGGATGCATCTTCTTTGGTTCTTTCGGTAAAGTCACCACCACGGAGAATGAGAATAAAATAATAAAATAACACGATAAAATTCTCACGACGTTTCGGCCACAACACAAGCGGCCGTCTTCAGGTGAAATCTGTCGGGACGGCAGAGCTTCAACAGACCTGTCGTCCCGACAGGTCTGTACAGACCTGTCGTCCCGACAGGTCTGTACCTTTCACCTGAAGACGGCCGCTTGCGTTGTGGCCGAAACGTCGTGAGAATTTTATCGTGTTATTTTATTATTTATTCTCATTCTACGTGACTTTACCGAAAGAACTAAAGAAGATGAATACCAAACACATCGGGAATTCTGGGTGATCCAAAAAAGCCAAAAAACTTTGTTTGAGGAATGATCCAGAATGGTGGTGACGTCACAGGAGCTCGTGACGAACACCCTGATGATGTCACGGCTACTCGTTTCCTGCCAAAAAAAAAGTAAGCACGGTGCTAAGACGACGTTCAACGATTTTTCGATGGAAAACTTTCTGGAAGGATCCGAAATTGTCATAAAAAAATCCGAACTCATCCCGAGCGCATACACCCAAAGATATTGATCCCCCAGATAGCCTAAGCAGAATGTTGGGGCGAGTGCTGCTAGCGTGCACCTGTCAAGGCCAGCAAAGCACACAAGGGGATGGGTGGACAGCATCGCCACGCCCGGCCGCCTTTGTCTCCCCAGTTGCACTGTTTGCACACCAGATAATCGTCACTGGCGATGGCCCAGAGCGGGACTCGAACCTGGGTTCACGAGTGCGTAGCGCTTGCGTGCTGACAACTACACTACCGCGCCCTCATAGCCCCACACACCACACCAATGCAGCATACACACGTTAAAATATGATCAAAAGATCCATCACAAAGCATATCATGCATTTGCCGTGAGGGGACACATGTGACTCCATGTGGCTCCACGTTGCTTCTGAAGAGGCACGCGTGGCTCTGCGTGGCTGCATGGGTCTCCACTTGGCTCCACGTGGCTCCCCTGCACACTTGCTGGGTAACCGGCTAAACGTAGGAAAGAAACATTGATTGACGAGGCTCCACGTGGCCCCGTGGTGGCTTCACGTGGCCCCCCCCCACGGTGGCTCCGTGGGGGGGTCTACGTGGTAGCTCCACGAGAGGGGAACCCCTACTTGTAGGCCCACACGCGGATGTCCTTCACTTGCAGCGCCGCCTCCTCTCCGTTGTTCACCTCCCTCTCCCAGGTGGGGAGCCACTGGGACCTGCCGGTCGGCAGAGACGACGAGACGCAGGCGTCACGATGACGAGCCCGACAGGAGACGCCATCTCACCGATGCTATTGGGAGCTTCACCGCGCCGCAGTGGCGAGATGTTAATGACCTCGCCAGATATACAGGAGGTCGTGGGTTCGATCCCGACCCTGACGCCTGCTGCTGCTGCTGTATATTTGAAGTTTGCTGTGTCTCTCTCATCATCATCATCACCATCACGGTGGCTAGGAGATGTTAACTACCTCGCCTGGTATACAGGAGGTCGTGGGTTCGATCCCGACCCTGACGCCTGCTGCTGTGTATTTCGAGTTTGCGTGTCTCTCTCTCTCATCATCAACACGGTGGCTATGAGATCTTAATGACCTCGCCTGATATTCAGGAGGTCGTGGGTTCGATCCCGACCCTGACGCCAATTATATATATTTGGATTTTTTATGTTCTCTCTCTCTCTCCCTGTGGTCGCGTGGATTTTTCTCCCAGTCCTCCGGCGTGTTTTTTCCCCTCCACGTTTAGAGTCGACATTATGTGCTTAGAGTATTTGGCTGCTACACATTAACACGTGGTGAGCCACTTCGTTCAGCTGCCATTTGCGAACAGGTCGCTTCTGAAAAAGAGTGATGTAGCTCAGTAGGCCTTACCTGGTAAAATAAAATAAATAAAAAAAATTCGCTTATTGATGAAAAAAGACGTGAAAATTAAGATGGAAAACGTTAACCAGCTTAGACTAGCTATACTGCCGACGACCAAATCACCCTGGAAATGCCCCCCGGCCTCTCCAGATCAATGAACACTCAGCATAGTTGAGCCTGCTTGGCATTTGGGTGTGAGACTATCTGGGTTTACCACGAGCTGAAGTCTCGGGCTTACAGGCGAGAGCAGCACTGTCATGGCTTCTTGAATCCATCTGCGCAGAGCTTTGAGTGTTACCACCCTCTCATATTATGACTCAGTGAGATCCTACAGGAGCAGCGAGGTGGCAACCTACACAGTACAAAGGCAAAGATCCCCCGTGTAGCCTGCGTAGACTGTTGGCACGATTGTTGTTAGCGAGCACCTATTAAGGCCGGCGTGGCACATGATGGGGTGGGTGGCAAGCACCACGCTCAGCCGCCTCTGTCCCCCCCCCCCCGTGGCGATGTTTAGACACTACACCAGGTACTCATTTGAGGCTGAGTCGACCATGGGGTAAGCCCAGGATCGTTTCAGATAATCATCACTGATGTTGACCTTGAGCAGGAACAGAACTCGGGTTACTGGGTTTGCAGCGCAGTGCGCTAAGCACTGCACCACCGCTCCTCAACCGTGCATACACCCACACACACACGCGTGCAAAGGCATACGTGTACATCCTCACATCCACACACACCCACATATCCACATACCTGTACATCCCCATACACTCGTGTGCACACCCACAAAGAAAAATACAAAAATTCACCCGTATAGCCTTAACAGACTGTTGGGGCAAGTGCTGTTTTCGAGCACCTAGGAAGGCCGGCACGGCACACAAGGGGGTGGGTGGCCAACACCACGCCCGGCCGCCTTTGTCTCCCTAGTGGCTATGTTTACACATCTCACAAGGTACTCATTTGAGACTGAGTCGACCTAGGGGAGGCCCAGGACCTGTTCATATAATCGTCACTGGTTTTGGCCGTGAGTGGCAATCAAACTCGGTTCGCCGGATTCGCAACGCACCACGCTAACCACTACGCCACCGCTCCCCACACGCACGTACCAACACACACGTGCGTGTACCCACACAACCGCGTGTACCCACCATTTACACTCGCTCGTACTCACGCACGCACCCGCGTGATACCGGCGTGCCCATGAGAGCCACGTACTTGGCGTTGTAGAAGTCCAACATGGCCGTGGGAGAAGTGTTGTTTCGTGCACTCGTCAAAGAAGTTCACAGTGCCCCCCACGGCCAGATTCAGGATCAGATAGAACTGCGGGGGTGGGAGGGGGGGGAGGTCGGATAAGAGTTGTATGAGAGAAAGCGGTTCTAGAACTTGCTCACCCGCCCCTACTGGACATCTGTGAAAAAGAGCTTCATAGGTCATCGGACTCCTCCAGGATAAAAAAACAAACTAAACATTTTAATTCTGAGAAAATTTAGGTGCCCCCATCACCAGATCTGGCTTATCAAGTGGTACCAGGCCTCACTCGTGGGGAGAGGAAAAAAGGTCAACATAAACCCTACAAAGATACCGGACAAACGCCTGCTGCCCATTCCAAGAGCGTCGGGAAGGTGGCAGAGACGGGGGCGTTGAATCGCGGGCAATGGATGTTAACGTTAGAAGCAGCGATGCGTGCAGAGAAGGACAGGCCCAAGGTCGAGTTCAGAAAGTGTCAAACATGATGTTTGGGGTTTGGCGTTGGTGGACGGTAGGCAGGGTTTGTATGTGTATTTGTGTTGAACTTCTTTCGCACTCTACGTAGCCAACCGTGCTAATCGGAGGTGCGGGTTTCAGGCTGGGAGAGCCCTGGTGGGTGAAGGGAGAGTCGCACAAGAGGTGAAACTTTTGACAGTTAAAAATGCAAATTTAAGGACATGTTTAGAAATGGCATCAGTTCCATCACTCTATGTCTCAGGTTCGACTTTCCAAGATCCAGATCCCAGGATCCAAACATTCCAGATGCCACGGTCCCAGTCTCAGAGTCCAAACCCTAGCTACCATGTCCAGGGTCCGGTTCCCATTCCTTAGACCTCAGGTCTGTGAACCATGATCCCAGGATCAAAGTCTCAGAATCCAGTTCCTTGATCTAAGCTCCAGGCTCCAAATGCCTGGATCGGTGGCTGCGAGATGTTTACTACCTCGCTTGGTATACAGGAGGTCGTGGGTTCGATCCTGACCCTGTCACCTATATATTTGGAGTTTGCGTGTTCACTCTCCCCGTGGTGGTCGCGTGGATTGGTCTCTGGGTCCTGTGGTTTTTCCCTCCACATTTATAATCAACATCACGCATTTATAGTATTGGGCTGCTATGAATGTCCAAATAGGCCACTTCGTTGAGCTATCGTTTGTGGCCAGGTCACTTCTGAAAAAGAGCTACATAGCTCAGGGGGCCTTACCTGGTAAAATAAAAAAATAGTTTAGCTTAGGAATCAGACTCTTTCCCCTTTCATCCAAAGGTCCATAACCTCACCTCCTGATCGAAGGGGGCCATCTTTCTCCGCCCCTTCCACGGGTTATCCAAGTACGCCGGGAACTTCCCAAATTCCCAGAGGCCACCTGCACCAGGGTCCACCTTTAGGATCTCTTGACCGTCCAGCAGGAACCTGTAACCACACACCAGTCGCCTGCAACGACGCCGAGCAACCTAGGAGCAACATGGAAGCACCCGAGAGGAAAATATGAAACACATAGCCAACCGTGCTCATCGGGGGTGCAACCTGAGGCGACCTGGAGTAAACGTGGACAACCTGGAGGAATCTGGAGGAATCTGGAGCAACCCAGAACTCGGACCTTACCACCCCCAACAAAATGGTCCGGGTTCCAGATGTGGCTGCTCGGGATGGTGATGATGTCGGTGATGGTTTGCAAGGTGGTTGGCGTGATAATGGCCATGAGGATGGTTGAGTTGGTGGAACTGGCGAAGATGTTGCAGCTGATGATGCTGATACCTGATGTAGTCTGGTGTCCACTCCATCCCGTATTTGTGAAATCCAGTTCCGAATGTCCCCCTGTGTCGCATGCCTGTGGGGAGGGGAGGGGGTGGAAGTCGCAGGGGAGTGAGGGTGGTGTTTGTTGAGATTCTTATGGTGTTTGTTGTCATTGTGGTGGCTATGGTACGATTGTAGTCCGGGTCCTTGTGTGGTGGATGATGTTGTAGTTGTGATTGTTGTGATGTAGTGGTTGTTGTGGATGATGTTGATATTAATTGGTGATTGTTTGGGGTTTCTGTGGATCTGGTGGTGGTTGATCATGTCCTTGTTGCGGTCACCGTGATGACCATTGTGGTTGGAATGCTGTAGTCACTGTGGTTATGGTAGTTGTTAAGCCGGTTTTTTGGTGATTGATTATTCCGTAGTTGTCGGGAGTCACGGTGATGGCTGTGTTGGTTGTTGTTGTGTTGGTGGGTGTGGTCGATGTGCTGTTAATTATTGCTGTAGTTGTTCTTGTGGTGGTGGTAGAATCGCGGTCTGTGGACTGTCCCCTGGGGTACCCCTCACTATGTTACGTAAGTCCTCCACCACGAGTTGAGGTTGGGGTAAGGTCCCCAGTGGAGGATGGACCCCATCTCGTCCACCCCGTGAGACATTCCCTGCGCGTCCTTCAGATCCACGTTCCCTGCAGAGCGTGGGGACAATCAGTGACACCCAGTCCAGTCCGGTCCAGACTACATCCAGACCCAGACGCAGACCCATTCCACATCCAGGCCTAAACGCAGAATAAACCCAGACCTAAGCCCAGACCCAGAGCAAACCCAGAGCAAACCCAGACCAAACCCAGACCTAAGCCCAGTCCCAGAGCAAACCCAGACCTAGAACCAGACCCTGACCAAACCCAGACCAAACCCAGACCAAACTCAGTCCTCGACCAAACCCAATCCTAAACCCAGACCCAGACCAAACCCACACCGAACCCGACGAAAGACCCACACCCAGACCAAACCCATCCTATCCCGAGATAAGACCGGATCTGGTACGGAACCAGACCAGGCCCACACTGAACTGAATCCAACCCATACAGAGACAGTCTCACCTCGGGACTCCACGATGTTGATCAAACCAGAGCTGGGCCAATTCCCGTACGCGTTCCTCTTGGGCATCAACCAGATCGCTACACAGCAGATAGAGTCGCGAGCACAGTCACAACATCCACACGCAAAAAAAGCCACGGCATCTGCCCCAGAAGTCCTCAATAACCTAAGAACTAGGAGATGTCGATGGCTACCATACACCCCCTGTTAAAGAAGGCGCAAGGCTGGGGGACATTTTCGCATTTCTATAAACTGCCCGATGATTCCCGATGTAACCATCGGAGAAATGTCGGGACTACCAACTTGTTAAACGCGTGCGGATCGCTCTCCCGCACGTCGGTGGTGCGGCTAAAGCGGCAATGCATTGGCACGTTTCCACACGTGGACCGCTCCATTAAGTTGGCTGCGACAGGTGGAGGAGGGTGCAGAACACACGAAGTTTTACTTACGTGCCGATCTGAATCGACGCGTAAATTATAAATCACAGTATTGCTCGTGAGGGCCTACGTGTTCAAAGTCACGACAGCTATGAACACACTCTTGATACAGTCACGAATCATGTAGTCATGACCAGGCGTCTGAGTGCAGGGCGTCTGGGTGTAGGGTGTCTGGGTGTAGGGTGTCTGGGTGTAGGGTGTCTGGGTGTAGGGTGTCTGGGCGCAGGGTGTCTGGGTGTAGGGTGTCTGGGTGTAGGGTGTCTGGGTGTAGGGTGTCTGGGCGCAGGGTGTCTGGGTGCAAGGTGTCTGGGCGCAGGGTGTCTGGGTGTAGGGTGTCTGGGTGTAGGGTGTCTGGGTGTAGGGTGTCTGGGTGTAGGGTGTCTGGGTGTAGGATGTCTGGGCGCAGGGTGTCTGGGTGCAGGTCCTCTCGGTGCAGAGCGTCTGGGCGCAGGGTGTCTGGGTGTAGGGTGTCTGGGCGCAGGGTGTCTGGGCGCAGGGTGTCTGGGTGTAGGGTGTCTGGGTGTAGGGTGTCTGGGTGTAGGATGTCTGGGCGCAGGGTGTCTGGGTGCAGGTCCTCTCGGTGCAGAGCGTCTGGGCGCAGGGTGTCTGGGTGTAGGGCGTCTGGTGCAGGGCGTCTGGGCGCAGGGCGTCTGGGCACAGGGTGTCTGGCGCAGGGTGTCTGGGCGCAGTGTGTCTCAGTGCAGGGACGCCGTCGCTCACCCGGCCACAGCCAGTCGCCCGTGGGCATCTTGGCGGTCACCTCGACGCGCCCGTAGGTGAAGGAGTGGACGGTGCGCAGGCGCGCCGACTGCATCGGGTTCACCACCCAGCTGCCTTCTTTCCCTGAGCGCTCGCAGCCGTGGAACGCGTTGCCCGTGCACGTGTCAGCTGGGGTCGAGCCTGCGTACGGGTGCGCGCGTACGAGTACACGCAGAGTCAATTCGACCTTAAATGAGCATCTGACAACACACCGGACTGTCCTCTATTCCATACCGGTCTAATGCAGTACGGGTCCAGCTCCCGACAGAGGAACGGCAGCCTCTCCTCCCCAGCCAGCATCAGACATTCCAGCAGCAAGCGACACGGACAGGGCAAGGAAGAAAAATGTCCCCGCCATCCAGAGGGGCTCGCGACTCTTTTGATCGCAGCAAAACTTTGGGTCCTCTCGGCGCTCTGAATTATCCAACATATCAAGAAACAAAAAACCCTTGCTCGGGGGACGCTTCATCTGCGGCACCAATATTCCCTGGCGACGCGATATTGCGCGGCTTCTGGACGCATGGACACACGGAATGCACAAGTGAATGAACGACTTTAAAAAAAAACAAAATGAGTACAATAACGAATGGGGGGGGGGGGGGTGTTAGGGGGAGTCACAGGGTGTGGAAAGGGGGGAGTGAACGAGTGAGAATCAGTGGGGTCACGGAGATAAAATAATTGGTGTTTGTGATGAAGTTCAAGATCAAGCTTCCATCGTGGCCAAAGGCGTTGTACGCCACCTCACAGCTGTCTGCCCTCTGCCAAATCCCACGGCTGCTGCACGGTCGACACGCGGCGACTTGCTCGATCTGCCCGGACCATCTCCCACCATCTGCTCTTTGATCTTCTTCTTCTTGGTGAACGGACTCGTGGAGACCACTCCGATGCCTGTCTCAGCAAATCGGCCCTCGCCCGACCTGCGCAATCGTTCCCAACCACAACGGCCGTCCCAGACACCTGTACGAACTCAAGTAGCGACCACTTTTGCGCGCCTCCGATTGGCGCGGTTGGCTACGTACGGTGTTAAAGAAGTTCAACGTACGCACCGACGCGCGGTGACCGCCCGCCATGTCTGGCCAATCAGAACGCTCCGTCCAGAATAAGCCGTGGACGGTGGCAAATTGACTATCCACTGCTGGATGAAGCGTGCTTATTAAACGATGCGCAGTGATGATCAAAATATCGCCATGCGTAATCATCAAAGACGAAGCGACCCCCGTATAGCCCTAAGATACTGTTGGGGCAAGTTCTGTTAGCGAGCGCCTATTAAGGCCGGCACGGCAGTCGAGGAGGGTGGATGGCCAACGTCACCGCTATCACTCATGCCTCCCCACCCGGCATGTCATTGCGTCCCAGACCCATGCGAGGCTATTGCGCATCACACCTCCGGTTTAAAACAAAACAAAAATCCCCAACAGCGATAGGCGACAACACCGCCTCGTCCAAAACGCGAGCCGATGGTCAAAGGCGCATTCTGTCGATTTCCTTGAAAGTGGATTTCAAGACAGTTCCCTTGTTTGAACAAATCAAACGATGCGAAACGGGGCAATTAAGGGGCCGTCCATAATGACGTCACGCACCTGGGGGGGGGGGAGGGGGGGGGTCAGACATTTGTGACGATGCGTGACGAGGGAGGGGGGGGGAGGTTGAGAAATGTGACGTCACATCAAAATGCTTAACTCTAAATAAATATAGACGACACGTTCTGCTTAATTAATTAGACTTTTTTTAATAAATGTTTTCTCCTACAACATCAGAGTGCAGCGCCACATTAAATACGCACTACAATGGCAATAGTTTTAAGCGATTTGAAGCATGTTTTTTGGGGGGGAGGGGGGGGCGTTCTTTGTGACGTCATATTTGAGAGGGGGGGTCTGACTTTATGTGACGCCATGTGACTAAGGGGGGGGGGGGGTAAAAAAATCGTCCAAAATCACGTGACGTCATTTATGGACGGCCCCCTAACTTGGTTTTTACTCTCAAGCAGTCGGCAGGATTCTCTACAGTGCCAATTCGCGCCATTGGCTTCCGATTGGCGAACGAATTACGTTGCGAGGTCGCGCTCATTCACACGCAGAGCGCTTGCCGCAAACGGAGCGCACAGTACCTTGACGATGTCGTCAATGGACACAAACCATCATCACGCGAACTCCGATCATTCTCGCACCGGCGGCTTTTGGCTGACCGTCCCAACCAAGGCAGCGGTCACCGCATCGCGCGGCGCTTTCAGACGCGCTTTCTGCGGCCGTCCGGAACGCTCTTCGTTCCGATATTATGAAGCCACTGGGAGCTATGAACTTTTAAATCGAGATTGGAGACCAATTTCTTTAGAACTCAGTTTGTCGTCCTTCCTCGCACGTCCGCTTAGCACAATCGGCTACGTACAGTGTGAAATAAGTTCAACATACATACGTGCACCAGTCGCGATATGGAACCGCGCTACTATAGCCCCACGGAATGTCGCACATATTCCAGCAAAACACCATCCGGTCAACCTCACTTGGCACACGGCACCGCAATTTCACAGCTAAGCGTAGCGCGTCTGCCACCACGACAGCAAAATGTCTCCACGTTCTCCGTTGAGGAACACACTTCAAGTTTCGTGACACCTCCATCCCACCCGCTCTCCACAAGTGGCCGCTGGGTCCCACAACCACTGAGAGCTCCCCGCAACTCACAGCGCAAAAACAGAACAGCTTGGTACGGAAATGCTCAAAGCGCGCCCTCCCTCCGCCACCTCCGACTCTGCTTGATTTTGCTTACACGCTGGTGCCGTGCCCACGGTTGCTACAGCAGCTGGAAAGCTATATTCTTTGGTTCTATTCGGTAAAGTCACGTAGGTAAAAAATGAAACAACAAAAATCACGACGTTTCGGCCACAACACAAGCGGCCTTCATCAGGTGAAGGGACCAGACTGTCTCGAGGACAGTGCTGGAGTGAAACACAGCCACGCTCAGACCGCGACCTTTAAGCTGTGTGCAAGGATACAGGATGCCTTGTCAAAGGAATTAGCATAAAAAATAGCATTTGATTGGCCGACTTAGCATGATGAACGGTGTAGAGGTGGTGTACACGCGGGTGAACACGCCGGTTGGCGCGGGGGGGGAGGGGGAGTTTACCTATTGATGGTGTGAAAAGGGAATTTTTAAGAGCTGCGAAAGTTTGGGGTACCACTACTTGAAAAATATACTGTACCATTGAAAATTAGTTTAATGTTTGGTTCGATTTAGAACATCTTTCCAATGGTTGCTTAATTTGAAACCATCTTCTCGGTTGAAATTGTGTCTGTGTTTGTAGATCTGAATTGCCTCGTGGACAAATCTCTGATAAAAACCCGTGGGTTTGCAAAGAACCTTGGTATCGGAGAAAATTATATCGTGATTACCCACAGCGTTGTAACAGTGATCAGCTACGGCAGAAGAATTCGTTCTGCCGTGTTTCAAATCTGATTTGTGCCTATCTATCGCGTGGCTCCCCTACCCCACGTGAACCGGCTCCGATCGGTTTCACCTTTCGACCTCCATTCCGTTCGCACGCTGTGTTGAGAAGACAAACCCGTCCGGCTCGTCAAACTCCAAGCATGCCTTTTAGAGTATTTGGATGCTGCCATGTATACATTTCCACGTGATAAGTCACTTGGTTGAGCTGTCACGTGTGGCCAGGTCACTTGTGAAAAACAGCTCCATAGCTAAGCGGGTCTTAACCTGGTCAAATAAATATACTCTTTGGTTCTTTCGGTAAAGTCACGTAGGTGTAAAATAATAAAATAAATAAAATCACGACGTTTCGATTGCAACACAAGCAATCATCATCAGGTGGGAAGACCACAGCAGTAATTTGTTTTACTGAAGTGGCAGAGGGAAAAAAAAATCTTGCTGTGGTTTTCCCACCTGATGATGATTGCTTGTGTTGCAATCGAAACGTCGTGATTTATAGTTTACAAATAGCGAACGGCTACAAACAGCTACAAACAGTAAACAATTACAAACAACACTATAAACAGTAAACAGAGCTGACGAAAGGTTTGTCACGAAAATAAAACATGCAAGTTTGGTATTAGTTCAGCATACTGGTGTTGGAGAGTAAAACTTACTAATTGGCTGTGTCGGGTGGTGGGGTGTATAACGACACATTTCTATTTACGAGATCTAACCCACAAAAACTCTATTGTGGACTTCGTCTCAACCTCACACTGCTCCACTTTGGAATGTCTTCCTATTGTTTATGTTGTCACGTTCTTATAATAACCATGTTCAATTCAATGCAAGGTATTAACCGTTAAAGCAAGGCCGTAATTATTCAAATATGCTCAAAATGCCCCCCCCCCCAATATATTGCTATAAAATAGATTTCTGTATATATGATTGTGGTTATGGTTGTACTTTATTAATCCCTAATCTCTGACATTACATGCAATGAAACAAGAAAAGCTAAAAAAGAAAAAAACAGGGCAATGTAATACAATACACTATTAGACATTATTGTTAAAAAATAAATAAAAAGTCCATCTTATGTGTTAGTTAATTTTTAAAAATATTTTAGGCAGGAAATTCGTTTTCAAATTTAGATTTTTTTCTGGGGGGGGGACACCCCCAGACCCCCTGGAAGATTTGGTCCCCCCCAATGTTGACTCCACGACTACGGCCTTGCGTTAAAGTATACTACAACTGCAATAATTACGTGTGTGACTGGCCACTGGGATTTTTTTGCACACAGCGTTGGTGTACGGTGCTTTATTTCAGGAATATTTTGCTGTGTTTTTTTTCATGGACTTTCTGTTTGCACAGTCACACAAAGTCACTTTAAGATGTTTTTCTTGTTCGTGTTTTTTTTGTTTGTCGTGGTTGCACCCGATTCAAGAGCCGAATGGCTCACAGGGCTATACCAAAATAAATCAACTGAAAATAAACTGAAACTGAAACATTCGGAATGTTGGTCCTTAAACCTGTGCTCAGAAACTGCGATATCAAACAAACTGCGTGTTTCTGTTTTTTCACGGTGGTGGAGAGAGGTGACTCAGTGGTTAGCGGACTGTGCTAGGACAAAGCTGGCTGTGTCGGATGGTGGCGGACAGCGCTGTGGCTTTCTTGTGAGCTGGCTGTCGGGTGGTGGCGGGTTTGACGACACATTCATATTTACGCGATCAAACCCCCAAACAAAACCTTGATGGAAGAATGACGTTATTCTCACACGAAACCCACACCACCACAGCCCATCCCATCCTCCTTGCACGCTCCCCAACTCCTCTCTCCGTCCCGTGGATCCGCATTGTCCCGCGTTCCTGTGTTAACCAATTAACACAAATGTGCCGATTTGTCTCATAGCTCGAAATGGAATGTGTGCAGATTTTTTTTTCTATCAGCAAAGAATGCAACAAGGAAGTAAACCTTTGTTAGAGTTGAGTTAAGGGTTGAGAAGAGGGCTGATCACTACCACTGTTTTTTTTACTGGTTATGTATGTTGAACTTCTTTCGCACCGTACGCAGCCAACCGTACTATTGTGAACCCCATAGCCTTGATAAGAATCGCCTGATAGGGAACCAACATTTACAAGTACAGGCAGACTTGAGAACAACAAAAACAACACAGAATTAAGACGTTTCAGAGTCGTACAGTATTAAACCGACGCAAATCTCACCCGAAATGAAAACCTCTGCTCTACTACACCCAGTTTGGTCGTTAAGGGTGCTGTTATTTGGGTGTTAGGCTGGTTAAATATATAATACAATTATGAAAGCCTCGCTCAATTAAGCTCAACGTATCAACTGGTATTCAGGGTGGGCCACATGTAACTACCTGATTTGAAATTGCGGTACGTTGTGTTGAATGATTTTGTAAAAAAAAAAAATTCAGAAAGAAAGTAGAAGCCTGGGAGTTTATGATGAACCGGTATACACCTCAGCAGCATGCAAGAATAGTTGGAATTCATTTCAGAACAAAAGTGTTCAATTATTTCAACACAGAAAGACTATCCCAGATATTTTAAGACCCCCAACGGCCCCAACTCCGCACTGTATTCGGGCGTTGATTTTTCCGATTTCGGGAATCAGAAACAACGGTGGATGCAAA